CGGGCACGAACTTGTGAGTGCCCTTGATGCGAGATTGCGAGAACCCGGGGGTGGTGGTAACACCACCTTGGCACGAATGTGCATTTTGGTGCAAACAAAACCTTCTCGGCTCTCGCGGAACGGGTACCGCTTGAGAAAAAATTGAGTCATCCTTTCCGAAACACAGCTGAAAAGACCGTTTGGAACAACTCTCCTCTCTGGCATAGGTGGTGTGATCACGGACCAGCGCCATTGGATGGACCAAGCATTCGTGTGGGAGGGGCCCCCACTTGTGCTCACTCAGTTGTACACATAGTACATGTGTGGGGCATGCTTGACCACAGCCCACACCGGAGCGGCATAGAACAAGGTTGACCGTATTGGCCTCATCCAATATCACTCGGGCTGTTGAATATAATGCTTTTCAACAAACCGAAATTTAAAGTACAGACATTTACCCCGCTTTATCTGTTTAGTTCTAACGTGTAGACGACACTAATTAGTCCGTGAGACGTCATGAGGCTAATTAATCCAGAAGGAAATACCAATACAAAAGTACCAGAAGGCCAAACTTAAGTCGGGCGCAGCGTTTTGAATCTCGACATGACAAAGAAGAGATAGCGGCAGATCTGAACTACATGGTCCACCCAGTCTATATCAGCTATCATACTATGCGGTGGGTGGAGGCTTTGGGTCCGGACGACGTCGTTAACCGTCTACCATATTTTCAATGTAACTACATAGCCTTTCTCGTGCCCACACTACTCCAAGAATCACCACCGAATGACTGGCAGAACTTCAGTGTGATTTTTGGTGCGAATTTGCCTATAAATACTACGCACGACCGGCCAAGGGAGAGTGATTGCGTTGCAAAATTGGCACATGGCTTCATTACGTACGGAGTCACCAGCCCCAAGACGCATCGAATGCCCACTCAGCCAATCGGATGTGAGCGAAGAATTCAAGATAATCAGATAAAATGTCTTTAGCCCAGTACATGTACATCTTTTGATCCTGTAAACGGCAGTCTATTATAGCCCGTTACCGGGGAGCCACAGGTGGCGGAAACTCGCTTGGCAAAAAAGTGGCCGTTATGTAAACGCTTGGGTCGTTTGAGGTGTGATTATGCCAGAATTAAACCCCATTCTGACACCTGATAGTATTCCACACTTTCCGGGGGATCGGATTTACTGCACATCAAGTTCTTGTGATGATGTGATTGCTTTTGGTAGTGGAAAGTAGGGCAGCACTCAAAAAGGCGGTGCGAAAGTGACAGTTGAAATGGGTGATCGAGGGATTTCTACCATGGTCTTAAGACGTGAGGTTCTTCAGGACAGAAGCAGGACTAAGGGAACGAGTGATATCGAACTTGGCTTAGCGTGACCGTCCATATGGTGCGGTACGCTTGGCCTGACAGCCAGCGAGCGATGTGCGAGTGATATTCAGTGAAATTGCCTGCAAAGCAAGTCCGGGTTACTCCCTTGAACGAAGGTCTACCTTTAAAGCGCAGGTGCATTGAACAAACATCGCCAGTGCAATCACAAAATCTCTGAAGCGACTCCTCTCCATCATCTTCGCCCTCTGAGTCCTCCTCCTTCTCTCCTTCCAGCCATCCTCGCTGGTGCTTCGCCTGTCGTTTTCGCTTTCACTGCCTCGTCGACGCGGCGTCATTTTCAACTTGCTCGGGATGGTTGTTGTTGTTGATAGGTCACGGTTCGGGTCATGATGAAGGGGAAAACCCTTCATCTTCACAATTCCGACGTGCCGACATCACCATAATTAAGGCGTCCGCCTTACGTCCACATTAATACGGTAGTTAGTTCAGGTGTTTTTTTGAAGTATATGATTTAGTGAGGAAGTTCTAGTCCTCAAATACCAGTAGAGTATGAGTACAGTAGCGAGTACAGTAGACGTTCGTGAGTGGGAATATCCGTCGCGAACGGGGGTACCAGTCACGACTGGGACGTCCTACTCCGGACGACGGGGATTTTTCACGCGTACAGGCCGGAACACATGCATCATGCGGTCTTGGGGCTGGTGACGACCATTCTTGTTCTTATGGAGAGCGTGACTTGGTGTGAGTGACCGTGGGCGTGAACTTGGGGCGTGCGGATGATAAGTTGCCCCGCCTGGTTCTCAAGAGTCCGCTTCCTCGAACACCCCGGAGACATACAGAAGCAAAGCCCCGTTAACGACTTCGCCCGGCTCCGGAACGGAAGCTTCGTAACACTATCGATAATGTAGTTCAAACCAGTTCCGCATCATTTCATTGCTGAGATCGACAGTTCAGTAGCATAGCAACTCCAGTGCAGTATATAACTCTTCCAAATCGAAGTAAGCGTTGCAGAGTATATGCTCGACTACACGCTGTGGAGGAGTGTGCTACAGCTCACCCAAAAAAAAAAAAGCCAATACCATTGATGCAGTTTGCATACCAGCAATCGTAGCATCACTCTCCCATTGTGTGTGGCCTTGAGGAGGGAAAGAACCTCTTGGTTGGGAACGTAGGTGGCTGATAGGCCTCCTTTAGGTCTACACATGCATAAGAAAAGCAGTGGGTTGCTTCCTGTTTTTTGAGAATCTAGTATTTACAAAGAGTTCCCATCGTACCAACAACCAATCCTTCATACAAGGCACTTAGCATCATGGAATAGAAAATATGCATAAATCACAACCCAAAGACGTCCAATGAGGTTCTGGAGCCTGGGAATCCGACTGTAAAGCTACATCAAAGTCACAAATGGCTAGGCATAACTAAGTCGTCAACTCATTGCTTTTGGGCCGCACATTATAGGCAGTCACAAACGATCACTCATGTTTGCATGGCTCAACTGCCCCAGTCCCACACTGCCTCGTTCACTGCTCCAGTTCTCCTCCAAGGACACCTAAGATTGCGGAGACAACAGGAACTTCCATTTTGTGAGCTAGACCTCAATGTTGTGTTTCTTACCGCATGCATTGCGTATAGTTCCAACCTTTCCTTTGTGAATACGACTTAATGAAGAGACTATATATAGGGATGTGACCATCCGACATAGGTTGCAAGTTCTCAGCACATCGTCGGTATAGCGTGCTTCACCGCCATCATACGGTTTCCATTCGTCCTCTCGTTCGCTGCTGCGAGCTTCTCAATAAGCTTAGCATCCCTGTCATCTCGTTGCACAACTGTGACCTTTGCCTCAGTGCTCCCGAGTAATGCCACTCTCGTTTATGCCGTCCCTTACGGCGGAAATTCTACCTTTGATGGCTCTATCAGCAACTTGCCCTCTCTCTGCGCTCTTTACTTTAATGTAACTTCATCCAACTCTTCTTCTTTCGACGTTGGGCTATGGCTTCCCGTCGATACCTGGAACAACGGCTTCATCGCCTACGAAAATGGTGGATTTGTGGGACAAGCGGCCTGTACCGACATGGCCAAAGGCCTGGACTACGGATTCGCTGCCGTCTCGACCAACACTGGCCATAATTCCTCCTTCATGAGCAGTGCTGATGGCGATTGGGCCCTCAATGCTCCCGAGAAACGCACGGACTGGGGCTGGCGCGCTCTGCACGGCTCTGTTTCCCTCGGCAAACCCTTGACAGAGACATTCTACAACTCTTCGATCGGATATTCGTACTATGCCGGCTGCTCAACCGGCCGGCGGCAAGGCCTCAAGTCACTCTAGATGTTCCCTGATGACTTCGATGGTGTGGTGACCGGCGCTCCCTCATGGTGGATAACTCATCTCCAACAATGGAACCTGAAGGTGGCCACCTACAATCTTCCCAACACTACCAGCTACCATATCCCGCAAGCACTTATCTCTGCCATTGCCGATGAAGTTTTCCGACAATGGGATGACGTTGACGGACTCGGAGATGGCATCATTACAAACCCGTACGCTTGCAACTTCCAACCCGAGACCCTTCTTTGAAATTCAACCTCCACAAACTCATCCAGCTGCCTGACGACCGATCAAATCGGCAGCCTCTACAAACTCTACAACGACTGGATAGAGGTGAACCAAACGTTTGTCTTCCCGCACCTAACGTACAGCTCCGAGGCGCAATGGAGCCAGGCCATTATCAGCTCGAACGAATCCTCTCCGGGCGGGTTCGGTTACGCTCGATACTTTCTATACAACGATTCCAACTGGACCTGGGAAGATCTCGACTACTCGACGGTACAACTTGCCGAGGAGTTTAACCCCGGAAATGCCACCGCCGACGACTATGACCTCCGCCCATTCATGGAGCGCGGCGGAAAGCTGATCCACTATCATGGCCTGGCCGACGGCTCTATTTCAATGGGGTCGAGCATCTACTTCTACAAGACTCCTCCAGCCTAAGGGCGTTCAGCTGAGTGACTTCTACTGGCTATTCCTCATTCCTGGCATGTAAAATTGTATCGGCGGTGTTAACAACGCGCCTTAGTACATTGCGAGAGCAAACCAGGCCGGTTCACGTCCACAGTGTCCCCGGCGATCAGGACCCCAAACACGACGTTTTACTGGCCCGGCCTTGATTTCGTGGGTGGAAAACAACACCGCACCGAACGAGATCATCGCGACCAAGCTCACCGACGATGATCCGTCGCAAGGCGTTATGATGCAGAGACCGCTTTGCTCGCATCCCAAAGAGGCGAAGTATGTCAGTGGCAATCCCAATGTGACCACCAGCTTTGAGTGCGAGGTGATCTAAGTGGGGCATGTTTATATGAGGGTGGATGTGCCTGATGTCAAACCAAATGATGCAATATCCGTTTTTCAATCTGTTTCGAATGGAATATGTATGGCCTATGCAGAGTAGAGTATGTATACGACCACACGGCGCATGTTTCTTCTCCTTATTTCTCCTTCTTCAGCTACGCATGTAACCGAGATGTTGTTGAAGACTTCGCTATATATATTCTTTATATAGGTATGTATACCTATTGTGTGAGCGGTCATATTTGTTTTGATGGACCCGCGCTTAAAATGGCCCGAGCGCATGGGAATGCTAGGCTTTACATGGGTGCTGATAAGTGTGATAGTGCACGCATTGGGGGTGTGGTTTAGTGGTATAATTCCTCTTTAGCAAGCAGCAGCTAGCTTAGAGGCGGTCCGGCGTTCGATTCGCCGCTCCTCCAGGCATTGCTTTTTTTTCTCTCCGCAAGAGAGTTCCGATTTTTCATCATGCAACTTTTTAAAGTTGAATATCTCGGGTTTGTACACTGGTGAGGTCGAACATGCACCGGAAGATGGATCACAGGGTCTCACGCGACACAGGTAGTTTGGTCACGCGACATAGGTAGTTTGGATAATCCAAACCTTTGGGGGCAGATGTCTAGAATTTTTCGTCTCCGGAGGGGGTTATTGATACATATTCGCCGTTCTACTCTTATTCCAGGCGTCTGCATCGCTCTCCAGCAGCAGCAGCAGCAGCAGGGTTGATGAAAAAAAAAACCCCTGTGAACTTTTCATCCCATCGTCGGTGTGAAAAAAAAAAAAAAAAAAAAAAAAAATGAGCTGTATCCATCAGCCCGCGAGAATGTGGGCGAGTAAACCCTGACCAAGGCGTGACCTGTTGCAACCGCACACAAAACTGGGCAACACCTGGGCCACGCTTCTGGTTGCGCAAGTATACTCTGGCCTACGCGGGTGCGATGTAACGCTGAAAAGGTGGTAGTGCTGGCCTAGATAGCGGGATGCTTAACTGCCCCCCCTGGCTGGCGGTTGGTGGTTAGAGTTGCGGCAGCTGCGTGGAAGAGGAGGTCACAACTTACAGGATGCGGTCCATTCCGTCGATGTTAAGTTGTGGATAAAACCGCGGCGGCCCGGCTGTGGGCGAAAAAAAAAAACTGTCGCGCGGGGTGGGTCCAGCTTTCGCTGTTTTTGCGTTGCCGGTAAGTCAAGCGCGCTCTGGCAATGGGACCACATGCTGGGTGCGCTTCACTGGTGATCACTGCTGTGGTTTTTTTCAATCTAAAGCCCCGCCGCGCTGGCTGTATAACATGCCTAGCGTAGCCGCCGCCGCCCGCACTCATCCATACCGAAGCCGGAAAATCATTTCCCCAGTATGGAGAGCCAGAGCAAACACCACCAAAGCCATCGAAAAACAGACTGGAGTAATGCGTTTGGCTGGGTTCTCTGTCCACGTTGACTTCCTCCCTGCGAGAGGGGCCTCGAAAGAACGCCTTCACGTCTTTACTCAACGCCGGCTCGGAGCGGGCAAGAGCACGGACTGGTGGGGGAGGGTGTTGGTTGGCGCGGAGACACTGTTTTCGCGAGGGATCCTGATCTGGAGTCGGGGGGTGCGGAGGTAAGCACGATGTGACTGTGTCTAAGGGCGCCATAAGTTGGCGCCATGGCTATCGAATAGATAACCACAGCCGACTCACGTGCGCGATCGTGTCCGAATCGGTGACAACGGATATACCTATTATTTCCATTTTTACAATTCAACTTTGCTACCTTAGTGAGAAACAGGTGTTTTTGAAAAATGCTTATGTACGCGTTATGTGAAGGTTTTGTGGTAGCACGAGCTTTATATGAGGCTGATGGTTATTCGCATATAAGGTTGGTAACGCAAAAAGATCAACCCTTATGGCCAATACTCAAAATCAACATCATGGCGACGCAAACGAGATGACCGAAGCCACAATGGGTCTATCAGCCTGGCCTGACGGAGATAGCTACAACGACATTGGTAGCCTCTCAGGTTGCCCCGAAGTCAAAACTATGTAAGCCGTTCCCACCCCGTAAGCTGAGATCGAGTGAGATCACGTGTCGCAGCGAATGGTGTTGAGTTTTTTTCTTTTTTTTTCCAACAAAACAAGCTGTCCCTCTACGACGAGTATGCTTCTGGCTCGGGCATCGCCACATCTCCCAGTTACGTTTCTATGCTGCATCTACTGCTGGTGTCCTGGTGTCTCCTCTGTTTTGGAGGTGGTGGGAGACGAGGCAACGGTGGTAATGATGATGATGATGATGATGATGATGATGATAGCGATCGTGAATGTGGAGAGGACTAGCACCATCGTCGCGGCGGGGTTGGATGCCCGCTGTGCGGCGATGTGCCGATATCCCCGCGCATTTTCTGCGTATACAGATTTTGGAAGGTACCGGGGCGCAGTGACACGCAAATCCCCACGAACAGCGGTTGAGTGACAGATATCGCAGCGAGGACACATTTTGTGTCACAAAGATCCGGGGAGGGCGGGGTGAGGGAGCATGCTTGAGTGATTGAGACCGCTCTGCACTGGTTTGAGTGACAGAACTCGCTTGAGTTCAGATCCGGGACCTTGAATGCATGGTGGCGAGGGGAACGGCCTACTGTGCTGCGTGGTTCGTTCCGGGTTATCCTGTTGTGATCCTTAACGTTCGCTGCGGTAATCGATTTTCTCTCACACGATTCCAAAAGCTCATGCCGCCGCTTCACCCATGATTTTTTTTTTTTCCCCGCAACACCTTGCCAGGAGAGTTTGTACGTATCATAAAGGTGTTTCCCAGTCCTTTCTGATCCAATCTTTGGATCTCTATATAAAGCATACTAAGTACTTATAACTATTTTCAAAAAGTCCCGTTTCTTACTAAGGTACTACCTAGCGTGCTTTGATATTTCGTCCGTCTGTACGCCATTATTTAGACGCCCTTCAAAGCCACATAGCAAAGGCAGGAATCAGGCCCTCGAAAACTTGAAACCGGACGCGTACGTCGGAATGCGCGTGAACTGGTGGAAGAATACCATGCCGCTCATGACCTTGGACCTGTCGACTGGGAGGCCGGAAGAAGGGCCGCAGCGGCGAAAAGCGCAAGGAGTATTGGGGTTAACTGATGCGAGAATTTTTTTTTTTTTTTTTTGGTGGTTAAACGTGTGTTGTCTGTCTGAAGCCGCGACGTACTATTTACAAGATGAACCCCACCCGACTCGCGACATCCCCCATCACTCTGAATCCAACCCTATATCTCCAACCCTACACGAGTGATGTCTCGTAATGCATTGTTTTTTTCGCCGGGCACTTATCGTTTTTAACATTTTTTGTCGCAGGCTGACTGGCTTCAGGCTCGAGATCCTCCTCCTCAGATGAGAAAGTGTAACTGTCGGACATGTTGGAGGCAGCGAGTTGCGACAACCACTCCAGCCCCGGCCTTTTTATGATCCCTCTGCTCCACTTATTACCGCTGAATTTCACATATGTCATAATTTACATCGCTTAGACCAACTTAGGTTCAGTGCTGGTGAACTACAGTGATGTCGTATTTGCGCTATCACCGGGGAACGTAGATTGCTCTAAAATAAACTGGACGCTATATATAACCGCAGGTCAAGCTAGCAAGGATTTATTCTTTGGATAACGCTTAATAAAAACGATTCACCAATGAACTCCCACTGCTGGATGACTTGACGTTATCTATGGACATGTTTCACCACCAAACCTTATTCCAACCTCGCGCCATGACAATTGATGCTATATAATATTCTCAGACTACCACAATTGCCCTTAGGGCGGCTGACACGCGCGCGGGGGTCCTCTGTCGCATTGTGCAATCAGGTGCTGCCGCACCCCTCGTTAGCCGGAGAAAGGCCCAGCGTTGCATCTGGGGCACATATTGGGCCTCAGTGGGTCTGTCCTTGTCCAGAACCCGGGGCGCAACCGTCCACGGGGAATATAGGCTCCTGCTGGCGGCACAAGGAGACCGGGCTGCTGAGGGGGTCGAGGAACTTGCCCTTTGGCTGCCGCAGGATTAGCGGGCAGGATGGCTTTCGCAGATCCGAAGTGAGCGCATGAGCCTGTCGCTGCGATGTGTCAGCAATCTCAACTATCGCGCGAGCTTCGTGGACGGATATACGGCAAATACATGTATGGCGGGCAGTTGACACATCAGAGATAGCTTCTGTCTAGCTTTGTAGCAACAAGCTCGCGTTGAACATCAGGAAAAAGCCAGCATGCGCCTTCGAAAAACAACGGTCGTGGCAAAAGGCCAAACGGCTGGCAAGAACTGCCCAGAGGGGCGCCCAGGAGAGTTTTGTATTCTCCCACATCGGGCGTGGGGTCTGGGGTGCGCGGTTGGGCCTGGTGGACTGAGTCACGGTAAGCGATTCGGGAGAGATATGTAGAGGCGGGACCAGTCGCTTCATTGCGCAGATAGTAGCCTAAGTGACGGTAAGGGACTCGGAAACGCTTGATTTGGTAAACTAAACGTAGTATCCCATCTACTCGACTATCTGGTGAAATATAGAGTTCCCGAGATCTCGCTTCTAAGCGAAAACTTATACATATAAAATCGCCATCCACAGCGAATGGAAGTCGCGCAACCGGTCGTCAAGAACACACTGGCACGCTCTAGCTCTGCCGAGAACGCTCGGCGGCGGCGGTCCTAGACGGTTTTGGGGTTTGGTCCTCACGCTGCCCACTCTGCTGGCCCGGGGTTTGGTTCTGATTGCCGGTGCGGCCGCGCCCATCATGATATCCACGCGGCATTTTATGTAACGTTCAGCGGTCGGATGTTTGCAGCCCGGGGTTTGCGAAGTGATGTGATGCTGTGAAGGATTGCACGCTGAGAGGATTGCACACCGCGGCATTTGATGGTGAGCTCATAGCCGGCACCCGCGCGTCATCACCACCATCGTGGCCGCCAGCGATTGATTCTGTGCGCCCGACGTCTGAATTCACCTTCTCGGTCACAACCGAGATCTCGGGAACTCTATATTTCACCAGATAGTGGTATGTGTCATAGTCGAGTAGATGGGGTAACATGGCTGATACTGGGTATCATTCATTATAAATTATACATGTGAGGAAGAACGAGATTCATCGGAGGGTTAGGCTGTGCGGCGTCTAAGGCGTATTAGCTGCGCAGGGTAATGTCGAGTAGCTGTTATCTGTTCCGACCGCCATGATCGCATCGTACAACACAGCGGCCGAAGGCGCTTGCAACCGGCCCCTGACAGCTTTCACGGTTCGAGCAACAACGCCCTTCACTGATCAGCCTACCGCCCAAATGGTCGTCGCTTCCAAGGTGCATACCTTTATCTGGACAATATGGGCGAGCAACAAAAGTAACTCTTGCAACTGCGATACTGACGTCGGAAAGCGGCGAGTAGCCTCCCATTTCAACAGGCACACGTGGCCTTTGGGATGGGACA